CATGGTAGTTGGCGGAACAGTTGCAATTGTTTGGCGGGTAAGCATGATTTTATCAGATCAGATGCTTCATTATATTTGCCGCACACTGAGTACTGAGCTGAGAAATAGTATTTAAGCGGAATTTTTAACTTTAGAGCCCTGTCACAGACAGAATCATGAGTCACATACAATACAGAACAATGTACAGACCTAATGAATAACAATGGTTTAGAACACCCTGCTACAAATGAAGTGAAGGAAGTTTCAAATCATGATATGTTATCAGAAGTTTCAAATGAGTGCCCAGTTAATATATTACATATTCTGTTAATATATTGGAATCCACCCATTAATAACATTTAGTGCTCATAGCCTCTGAAATGAAATGTCACATAATGAAATAAGAATCTAACCAATAAGAATCCACCCATTAATCTTAATAACTATCCAAAACATGGAATTTTCATCTTCAAATCCGATTATATCAAGGCTCTGCTGGGTAGAGCTTGTTTTAAAAAATATAGATTATTCTGTTTCCATTAAGCTATAGAGTTTGTTCTGTAAAATGGATTAGAGTCCAAAATAAGAGTAAACAAAACCCTAACCTTTCCTCCATTCCCGTCTCTAACTTCTCAGACGGTCCCAGGGTGACTTCCTTAAGCTTCGTTCTCCGATGGCCGCCCGATGACAGGTACCGGCTTCTCCGTTGGGCGTTAGGATGTAAGGGAAGGCTGTGATGTTTCGTTGGGAAGGATTTCGGACGAGAGTTTTGTGGATGCGGAAATAGTTCAGAGCAGGAGTTTGATTTTGGGGAGGGAGTATCGCACGTGGGGTTGACGTGGGGAAAGTGTAAGTTTTTTACTTTGGGCCTTTATATATGGTGTACTAATGGGTATAAAAAAGTGTACAAAGAGACTTTTTGAAATACGTGTGACACCGAAGGTGCCTTGCGGGCCACACGTATGCCTTGTACCAAATAATACGCTTATTAATAAATCAATGTAACACCTCGATAAAAAAACCAAGTTGTTAGTTTTAGAATCGAGTAAAGGCCTAGCAAGACTTCACAGAAATGATAATTTTTGTGGCCGATATGCCAAAAATAATGCAAGATACGAAACCGTTAGATAGTATATAATTTCTTTTATGTACTTGGAATTGAAAGATAAATTACCATTATGTTAAGAACAACTCAAATTCGACAATGTAAATGGTGCACACGTGGAATAAGAGAAATAAGTAAACACATTCAATATACTATTATTCACAATGTCAAACTTCATGCCTAGAATGTAGATATTGTACTTCAAATTAATTAAATAAAGAGTAACGAATAAAATACCATACAACCGTAAAAAGAGAGATAAACAAATGTTACTCCGTATCAATTACTACGTAATTTTTATATGTCCCTCTCGTATCACATGTGCATCATACACATCAATGCATTGAAGTTGCCATAAACCAACTAATAATTTATATTAAACTTTTAATAATTTCTTACCATGCATTGAACATTCTCTGTCTTTTATTTAAATTAGTGAGGCAACCACTACATCATTAATTGTACTAACTAAATGAAATAAAGAGACAAAATTATAAATATGATATTAATTTAGATTATGATTAGATGAGACTATTGTGAGAATCTGATGTCCTTGATGTCATAGAAGCAACCAACAATTTCCATATCTTCTACTAAAGCGGAGTATCAGAGATTGCTTATAACCATCTAAAAATTTACATCTCAGAGACTACGTGAAATCACTATGATGTAACTTTGAATATAATTAATTATAGTCACTAATTGTTATTAAATCACATTTTTCTATCACTTATTTATTAGTAATATTTTAAAGAAAACCTATTTGTATTATCATGATTGTCATTATTTTAAGCCGTTACTAATACATACCATTAATAGTCCATTATACTACGTATTACTTAGTACTCGTATATATTAATGTTATTATATAGTACTACGTATATGCATTACAAATACAAACAACCTAGACCTACATACAAATACTCCCTTCATCCCTTAAAACTTTGCCAACTTTCCTTTTTAGATGTTCCACTAACTTTGCCACTTTCTCTTTTAAGTAAAGAATTTGTGGTTCCAGTTAATTCTCTCTCCTTTGGATAATCCTCAACCACACAATTTTTACTTTATTAATACTCATGCCGGTCAAACTTGGCAAAGTTTTAAGGGACAGAAGTAGTATTAAATAACAAAACTGATTAACAATCATAGTTCCTTATAGTCTTATATACTGTAAACTCCTCCACCGGTTATACCCGTGCCATAATAATTCAAATTTAATAATACTGCGTTCTAATGGTAAAATTTAAGGAACCATATAGGACTAGACTATGGAGTCATATATCATGTGTGGACCTCCATTACTTTTCATATATGTAGTGGCGTCCTCCATTATAAATCACCTTTAGAAATATACTCCATCTATCTGTCCCTTAAAGGTTTGTCATGTTTGACTGGCACGTAGAGGAAAGACTGTGTGGTAGATATTTGTGTAGAGGAAAGAAAAATAAAAGGAGCCACAAATTGATTGATTAAAAGTGAAAGTGACAAAGTTGGCAAAGTGAAAGTTACGTAGCCCACCATAGTGAAGTCATATACTACCTTCTTCCCACTAAGTTTGGTACAATTCGATTTACGATTCTTGACCGACGATAAAGCAAACAGATTCCTGTTCGCACTCAATTTTTTGTTTTAGAAAAAAAAAATTACATATTCAGAAAATACATTAAAAGCTTTACAAAGTCGCAAAAACCAGAATCAAATTTGATAAAATTGAGAATATTACCCAAAATATGACTAAAAAGGTTTGAAAATTCCAAAATAGGACTGCCATGTTTTTATTCCCAAAATAGGACTAATTACTGCCATGTTTTGGCAGTACCAGACTTCAAACATGTCAATATTTTTTAAACTTGTCAGTAATTACTCCTATTTTGGGATTAAAAACATGACCGTCCTATTTTGGAATTTTTAAACTGTTTTAGTCCTATTTTGGGAAGTTTCCCATAAATATTTGATATATAAAGTAAGAGATTATATGTGATTTGTGTTGACAAACTGCATAGTGCATAAGACAATCTTGACAGAACGGAGGGAGTATGTTTCTTTAAATTTTTTGGTTCTTGTTGGGTTAATGGCCAACCAGGGCCGGCCCATCAACCCCTGGGGATGAATGTAGCCCAGCATAGCCAGGCTTCAGGGTCCAAGGGTCAGGGGACGTATGTAGCCCACCATAGCCAGGCCTCAGGGCCCAAGGGCCAGAGGACGTACGTAGCCCCGTAGGACCAAGCTTCAGGGCTCAAGGGCCAGGGGACGTACGTAGCCCAGCATAGCCAGGCCTCAGGGCCCAAGGGCCAGGGGACGTACGTAGCCTCCGAAGGACCAAGTTTCACGGCCCAAGGGTCAGGGGACGTACGTAGCCCAGCATAGCCAGGCCTCAGGGCCCAAGGGCCAGGGGACGTACGTAGCCTCCGAAGGACCAAGCTTCAGGGCCCAAGGGCCAGGGGACGTACATAGCCCAGCATAGCCAGGCCTCAGGGCCCAAGGTCCAGAGGACGAACGTCTTGTGGACTACGCTCAAGGGCCCAGGCTGCCACCAGAGGGCCGAGTCCAGTTTAGGGGACGGACGTCCCCACGCTATGGCGGGAAACCAAGATCTTGGCGGGAAGCGCATTAAATGCGAGAGATTTGGTGGTTGGGATCATGTCACCCACAGCCGGCCACGCCAGCCCCCCAACCACCATGAGCTACTATAAATAGTCGCATTTATTTCATTGTAAAGGGTTCGCACTTCGACACTCTAGAATTGTAATAGCATCAACGGCACGTAGCATAGCTCAGTACGTTCGCCCCCTCGGCTTGTAATCACTAAAGTGAATGAAATACATTTATTAACCCACTCCCCGTTGTTTAGTGAGCCTGTTTTGCTTTCCATCCATTCGAAACCCCCCAAGTTACGTGTTGGGCCTGCGGGTTGAGGGGAATAAACCTCGACAGTTCTAAAATACTCCCTCCATCCCGAAATAATCGTCCTGTATTGACCTTCACACAGATTAAGAAAACAAAGTTGACTTCACACTGTAGCGACACTGTTTGGCACTGTAGCGATACTGTTTGGCACTGTTTTGCACTGTTTGACATTGTTTTGTATATATTTGTTTACCAAATAAGGAAAAGAGACAATTATTTCGAGACGGACTGAAAAGGAAAACAGGACAATTATTTCGGGACGGAGGGAGTAACAATAGTGAGGAGGTCGGGCAATAGTGAGGAGGTGGGGCAATAATTTTTACTTGCGGTCATTTAAGCCTCAGACTAGCTAGATCAGACTCAAACAAATTAGACAAGATCAAATTTTAACATAGTAGATTCAACTTCTGCAATTATTAAATGCGTGAAAACTAGACGTTTACTAATCAGACTATACTAGACTAGATTAAACTTAGTTCAAATAAAAACTTCATTCGTTCTCAATTAATCACTAATGCTAAAGATATCCCAAAAATGAGGTAGATCATTCTTACCCCGCCTAATGCGTGGCCATAAATGGGGCATCACATTTAAGTGGGGCACCACTTAAGTGTGTTGCCTCATTTATGACCACACATTAGGTCGGGGTAAGAATAGGGTACACCCAGTAGCAGACGTGCTATTGTTTAAGGGTGTTCAGAAGAATACTCAAAATTTTGAAAATAAGATGTAAAAATTAAGAAGACAATGTATTTTTACATGTAAAAATATATGTATAGAATTGATATAATAATTTATATAGTATATTTTTATACAAGTTTTGTTAGCCTTAACCTTTTTTCCTAATTTTTTGTTGTCAAAAAAATTACATTCCTTCAATTTCAATTGTGATATCGAAACACATTATTGTTCAATATTTTAATCATAATTTTTTCGTACACTCAATTTTCAATGGCAAGATCCGCCGCTGCCACTTGGTACACCATTTTGGGTACCTATATCGGTCTCCTCCTCGATTAATAGTCTAGACTAGACTAGATAGGGTAGCGACTAATAGTCTACACCTTATCTCTTCCCTGCATAGCTCATTTTCTTTCTCTCACACTCCCTCCACCTGGAAGTTTCCTAGACGACCACTCCTCTCCGATTGTCTCTCAATCCGTCTATATTTTAAGGAGCGAGTATATAGTAACCAGGAAAATAGCTCTTCATCGCAGCCTCATATTACATCCAACGGCTGTGATTTCCACTCTTCTCTTGCCTCTCACCACGATTTGCCTTAAATGCTAGGACACAAACACAATCACTGAGCTTAGTCTTCCCAGCACTGTTCTCCCATGTGTTAGACAGCCAAACCTTCTAGACTGCTTTACCCAAGGTATAACTTTCTGTATATATAGATATTTAGCATAGTTTTGCATCTGCACACACTCATATTCCCAGTTCTGGTTCTTACCCTTATTGTTTATGTTCTTGAGGATAAAGATTTCAACTTTGTGCTCAATTTCATAAGGATATGCTCTTAAAGATTATTATTGATATGTTGGAGCGTGGTACTGTTAACAACTGTTGGTATGCGCATGAAATTAGTTTATAACAGCTTTTCAGCTTCTTCTTTGTTTAGAAACCTCAAATATCTCCTTGCAAAAAAACCTCTGATATCATTTTCTTTCAATAGAATAAAAAAGAATCAGATCCCTGAGGTTTCGTATAAGCCATGTTTCTAGAATATTTGTCTTGTTTTGCCGACTCTAAATAGTAATAATAATAAGAATATTGATTATTATTATTATTATTATTATTATTATTATTATTATTACTATTAGTCTTGTTTGGCATTGTTGAGACTCTCCAGTATTATTTTTATTGTTGTTGTTATTTTTTTTCAGCTTTTGGGAGATTGCAGGGTTGTATTCACAGGTTCTTGAATTCGGCTTTCATGCAGTGTTTAATCTTTCTTGAGAAATTGGATTAGGGCTGCTGTCTCTTGAAGATTCAATGGTTATGGACAGAGATTTAAGGGGTTCTCATGAGACCACTTCTAGGATTGAACTGCAGGATGAAATGGTAAAGCTTTATCTTGATCAAGAAGCCATCCGTGGGTTAACTGCCAATGACACCTATTTGGACCCAATCTCTGTTGCAGAAAGTGAAAAGTACGGAGACCGGTTAAATTCTCTGGACCCTAATTTGTTGAAAAAGCAAAATCTAAATGGTTTAACCTTCCCAACTTCACCGTATATAAATCCGATCAATGATCCGAATTCCGGAAATGGTCACGAGGATTGTGATTTTAGTGACACAGTGTTAAAGTATATTAGCCAAATGCTTATGGAAGAGGATATTGAAGAGAAGGCCTGCATGTTTCAAGAGTCAGCTGCCTTAGAAGCGGCCGAACGGTCTTTTTATGAGGTCATTGGCGAGAAATACCCACCATCCTCCCATCTTGAAGATCATATGGGTCATTATAGTAATAATGGTGGTGGTGATTGTGATTTGTTAAATCCTAATTGGGATATTAATGATTCGCTGTCATCCTTTAGTTCATCATGCAATAGCTTGTGGACTGTAAATGAGGGGCTCGCGGAGTCACCAGTGAGTACACTCCAGATCTCAAGCATACCGGGTAATATTGTACAGGAAGCAAACAAGTTCTTCGACAAAGGGCAGAATGGAAATAAAAATGATACGAGAGGGTTAACAGGGAAGAAAAATGTGCATTATGCACTTGAAGAAGCAGAAGATGTGAATGAGGGTAGAAGCTACAAGCAATCAGCTGTCTCGTCTGAATCAACCGTTGAACCGCAAATGTTTGACGAGATATTACTATGCAGTGGTGGTAAAAACGAATCTGATCTCCGTCAGTCTTGGAAGAGCGTTCAGGAGTATAACGGGAAGAAATCACGGGGGAGCAAAAAGAATGGCATCAAACGAGACAACATGGTGGACTTAAGTACGCTATTGACACACTGTGCACAAGCAGTTGCCTCTGATGACTTACGGACGGCGGTGGAGCTTCTGAAGCAGATCAGGAAACATTCTTCCCAAACGGGTGACGGTGCGCAAAGGATAGGTCATTACTTTGCAGACGGGCTCGAGGCCCGTATGGCAGGTTCCGGGACCAAAATTTACAAAGCCCTTATATCGATGCCCACTTCAGCTTCTGACGTCTTGAAAGCATACCAACTCTTCCTAGCTGCCTGCCCTTTCAAGAAGATCTCCAACTTCTTCTCAAACAAAACAATAATGAATCTAATAGCCCAACAAGACACCACGTCAGTCCACATAATCGATTTTGGCATTTTCTACGGCTTTCAATGGCCTTGCTTCATCCAACGTCTCTCGTGTATACCCGGTGGACCCCCGAAGCTCCGTATAACTGGCATTGATTTCCCACAACCCGGGTTCCGACCTGCAGAACGGGTCGAGGAAACAGGTCGTCGCTTAGCTAATTACGCCCAACGATTCAATGTCCCATTTGAGTTCCACGCCATAGCCCAGAAATGGGAAACTATTAAACCGGAAGATCTTAAGATCAAAGAGGGAGAGCTCCTCGCGGTGAATTGCCTATATCGACTCAGGAATCTACTCGATGAGACGGTCATTTTAAACAGCCCTAGAGATACAGTTCTCGACCTGATCCGCGCGTTAAACCCAGCCGTTTTCATAATGGGGGCCGTTAACGGGTTGTACAATGCCCCATTTTTCATCACACGCTTTCGGGAGGCACTTTTTCATTACTCGTCTCTGTTTGACATGCTTGAGGCGACCACCCCACGTGAGGTTCACGAGAGAGTCTTGTTGGAGAAGGTCTTGTTCGGTAGGGAGGCAATGAATGTGATAGCATGTGAAGGTGGGGAGAGGATTGAGAGGCCGGAAACATATAAGCAGTGGCAGGTGAGGATTCAAAGGGCAGGGTTTAGGCCACTTCCTGTGAATGAGGGGATCATGAAGATCTCTAAGGAGCGTGTAAAGGTGTACCATAAGGATTTTATGATTGATGTGAATAGAGCTTGGCTTGTTCAGGGATGGAAAGGGCGTATTATATTCGCTCTCTCATCCTGGAAAGCGGGACCCTAAGCGTCAAAGTATGAGATTAGTTAACAACAGCAAGAGGAGGAGGTACTTTGATGGTATTTATATCTATTTGAAATCATTAGAACTTTCAATCCCCCCCCCCCCCCCCCCCCCCCCCATCTAGAGTAGTTGTGCACTTGTGGTGATAAGGATGAACTAATGTGTGTTGCTTTGTAAAAATGCTCTGGTTTTTGACATAGGAAGATTAGGCCTTCTCGCCGTGGCTGTGTGACTGGCCACTGCTATCCTTCAAGCCTATATGGCAGTTTTCACCCTCCTGGGGTAAAATACATTTTGTCCCATAGATGTTTATGAATGTAGGTATTTTACAACATTTTGGTTTATTAGATTCATACTTTCTTAATGTTGGATATTTAGACCGAATCACAGTGCTTGGTATAACCAGAGAGTTGTACACTTTATTATTATTATTTTTATGCAATAAAAATACTATAAGTATGGAGCAGCATTTATGAATTTACATTTTTTTCCATTTTTAAAATTTTAACAAAAAGTTAATGTTATCACCTATATATCAGATCCCCAAAATGAATTGAATTTTCCAATGGATTCTATCTACTTGGTCTGTCTAAACTGTTTGGTCCGATAAATATTTGATATTTGTGTATCTTAGCATTCGTATGTGAACCAAAACCTCTGTTGATGGTGGTAGAATACATCAGAAATATAAGTACTTACTTTAAAATTACGGAGTATTAATTTCTCTTTTGTTAAGTAATCTATGATTTGGGATACACATGTATTGATTATTAGGGGGTGTTTGGTAATTGGTTGTTGTTGTTGGTTGATTGTGTCATCTGTTTTATGATAGTTGTTTCTGGTGGCTGTTTTGATTAGCAGTTCGTAAAATGTTGTTTGGTTAAAATGGTTGTTTACAATCATCTGATAACTTGTCAAATGACTTTTAAGTACATCAATTAATTTTTTAAATTGTGCAATTATATATATAGAGAGTCATTCTCCTGTCCAGCAGCTTTCTGTCCGAACGCCGTCCGAACACCGCCGTTCGGGGCGGTTCCCGGTGGAAATTTTTGATGAATTTTTTTGAGCATGTTCCTCATCAAGTCTAGTTTATCCATACAAAATTTCAGCTTAAAATTCGATCGGGAAGGCAGTCAAATAATTTGTTGAAGTTAATTGCGTTTTTCTATGTATAATTTTGCGCATTTAACTTCATCAAATTATTTGACTGTCTTCCTGATCTAATTTTGAGCTGAAATTTGGTATGGATAAACTAGATTCGATGAGGAACATGCTCAAAAAATTTCATCAAAAAATTTCACCGGGAATCATCCCGAACGACGGTGTTCGGACAGCATTCGGACCCGAGGCTGCTGGACCTGAGAATTTCTCTCTCTCTCTCTCTCTATATATATATATATATATATATATATATAGAGAGAGAGAGAGAGAGAGAATGAAATCCTCAAGTCAGGCCTTCCTGATCGGAAACGTCGTCCGGATAGAGGGTTTTTAGGCCCTTTCCGGTGTAATTTTGTTGATGCAATTTTTTGGGTGTTCTCCACCAAGTCTACTTTATCCACAAAAAGATTAAGCTAATGATTCCATCGGGAAGACAGTCAAATAATTTTTTGGAGATAACTGTGTCAAAATATACATGTAAAAACGCAGTTATCTTCCAAAAATCGTTTGACTGCCATCTTGATTGAATTTTTAGTTTTTGTGGATAAATTAGACTTGATGGAGAACGTGATCAAAAAATTTCATCAAAATATTCCACCGGGGTAAGGCAGCCAAATAATGCGGATAAACTAGATTTGTGGTTGGTATCCCTTTCTTCCCTCTATAATGCGTTTGATCTTCCTCTCTAATAGTTATTTCAATATGGGTTCCATCCATCGCTCCAATGTAATCCTAATATTAAAATACCACTAAAAATATTAAACCCGTAATTTAATGAACTAAAAGGAATAACCATAGTATCAAGATACCTTAAAATGTGGCATATACTTAGTATATAGTATCATTGACAATTTGGGTTGGAACCTCTTTCAACTCAGGGTCTTTAGGTTTAAGCATGTACCTTGAAAATGCTAACATGATATTCAATACCTCTTTGATCGGCATTATTTTTTCTTTTCTTAGGATTTTCCATGATCAAAACATACGCTAAGAAAACAAGCTCCATTAACGATTATGCCTCCTTTTCTTACAGATTCATAACTGCATAACTGGATTCAAAATAAGAGCAACTAATAACAAACTATTACACAACAAATTTAAGAAATTAAGTCTGCTTTAAATATGCACTCAATATAAACATACTGGAGCATATATTGTTAGTTTAAAGGGGCAAAGCTAAACATACTGGAGCATATATTGTCAATTCATATCCCATAAGTCCTTAAGATCAAATAATGTCCTTTATAAAATTAAATATTTCCTCCATCCCATTTAAAGGTTCCCGTGGCAAAATGACATGATTATTAAGACAATAATTAAATATGCTAATTCGAATATATTTTGAGAAATAATTTTGATGGGTATATAATATAATGGGTTATTGATGATAATTGTGATTTTATAATTTTTTTAGTATTAGATGATTAAATTATAATTTAAGAGTGTTAATTGTTTCTAAAATGGAAAGTGAGAACTTTTAAGTGGGACGTCCAAAAAAGAAAAGTGAGAACCTTTAATTGGGACTGAGGGAGTAACATATAGTCAAATGTTCGAATTATTCAAACTGAAAAATACTCCCTCCGATCCTAAATAAAGTCCACACTTTCCTTTTTGGGTCGGTCCAAAATAAAGTTCACACTTCTTCCCCTTCCTTATTTGACAAATTATCTACATCAAAACAGTGCAAAACAGTGTCAAATAATGCCAAACAGTGTCACAACAGTGCACTCTACAATAAAATCAAATTTATTTCCTTAATTTGTGTGAAGTCAAACACTGAACTTTATTTAGGATCAGAGAGAGTATTTATTCAAACTATGGAACAGACAATGTATGTGCTATATTGTGTAGTTTAAATTTTAAGAAACAAATTATTTATTCATCGGTCTCATATACGAAATGTCATTACTATATTTTGTATGAACTAATTAAGTCGTGATTTTTAGGAGTTCTCTTAGTACTCCGTATAAAATTGTAAGTTAGATACTAGCAATTCTCTTTATTTGTTCCTCTTTATGCGATTATCTTCTCAAAGCTCTGTATGATCTTCATTCTTGAGTTTTACACATCATGACTTAAGTTTAAAAGTCAAGCAAAATATAATTGGTTTCTATTCATTTATTCAAAAATTAAGAAGGCTGTGTATTTTTTAAAAACAGGTTGCGTATAAATACTATGATACATGGTACACGCCAATTATAACAAAATTTTGCATATGTTTTTATTCTATGCCAAACTTATGTATTAATTATAAGTTTGTTTGATTAACGCAGGCTGCGTTTATAAGGTTAATTTAAATTAAGTGTTTAACATAATAAATCGGTGCTTGATACAATGATAACATATGTTAAGCTGCGTATAAACACTTATGTTTTTGGCATAGGTTTATAATTAGTGTGTACTATGTAACATCTTCATTCTTGGCTTTTAAAACATGCGTATTAATCAAGCAAAATTAGCTTTGTATCATCTTCATTCTTTATGTGTGTACTATGTATATGTAGGTATCTTCCACATTCTTTCTTGGAAGTTGCCAAGAGACACCTTAACATGGAGGCACCTTCTTGGAAAGAGCTCTCCAACAAATATGTGTGGGAGAATATATGGAGATAACTAGGAAGCTTGGATGTAACTTCCTCATGTCTCCAAACCAGCCCTATAAATAGAGTGCTCCATTGTTGTTCATAGTATCAGTTTAGAAAGTGAGAAAAGTGTGTGAAGAGTGAAATACACTTGGTGTAGAAGTGTATTGGTGAGGATTGGTTTTTTGTAATAGTTGAGTGTGAGAGTTTGCTCCTCCTATTGTAATTCTGTTCTTGATATTGAATAGAAGAATTTTCCAATCCCAACAAGTGGTATCAGAGCGAGGTTGAGCTTCCATACACTGTTTTCTCATTTTCAGATAAATTTCTACAGGTTAGAAAATCGTGATTTTTCAAGTTGCTCGGAATCAGGATCTGATCATACTGTTAGATTCGTCTCGGCTAGACAAGAAATCTGGTAATTTTGGGGATTTTTTGGCCACCGGAAGAGGCCGTACGCGCCGCCGGAAAACTGCCTGCATCATCACTGCGTCATCACACAGTCCAGAGGAAGAAGACGATCCACGTCAGCTGCCACGTCATCGCCACGTTGGACCACGTCAGCGACACGTGGTGCTGAGTCATCCGCCACGTCATCCACCCGAGCCGTCCGCTGTGAGCCACGTCAGACGCCACGTGGCTACACGTCATCGCCACGTCAGCGAGGGAGCAGAGCCACGTCATTCGCCTGCTGGGCTGCAGGCTGGGCTGCTGCCTGAACCGGACCGAACCGGTTCGTGCTTTTGGAGGCCGGTTCACCCGTTTCCAGACCAGTTTTGGACGAGGTCAGACCGGTTCTTACCATTTTCGGCCATTCCGGATCCAACGGTGAGCTTCGTTTGTCCAAATTCGGCTTCGAAAATAAGGTACGAGATATATAGAGCGTTTTATTATGGATAAATCATCGTCGGACACCATGATTGCGCTCACATCCACAAACTACAATATGTGGAAGCCTCGGATGGAGGATTTGCTAAATTTGAGGGATTTAGCGGATCCTCTTGATAATAATGGTGTGAAACCGGATAAAAAGACGGATGAAGAATGGACAAAAATGAATCGAAAAACTGTCGCACAAATTCGACAATGGATAGATCATAGTGTGTTCCACCATGTTGCTCAAGAACAAAGTGCTTACACACTATGGGAGAAGCTTGGTAGCATGTATCAAGCAAAAACCACCCGAAATAAGACGTTACTAATGAGGAGATTAGTAAACCACAAATTACGTGGGGGTATTTCGGTGTCAGAACACACCAGTCAATTCCAGGATCTTGTGAATCAGTTGAGCACCACCGGATGGGTTCTCAAAGATGAAAAGCAGGCGATACTACTCTTGAGCTCTCTACCTGACAGCTGGGAGACTCTTGTTGTCACTCTCTGTAATTCTGCTCCAAATGGGAAGGTGACTATGCAGATGGTCACAGATGCCCTGATGAATGAAGAAGCCCGAAGGAAGGAAGCCGGGACGGAACAATCATATGTCCTCATATCAGAAACTAACAGACGAGGGGGAGGCAGAAATGGAGGAAGAAGTCGAGGTCGAGGTAGAGGTCAAGGTCAAAGTAGAGGAAATTCTCAAGTTCGCGAAAGATCACAAGAGAGAGGTATGTCCTTTGAAAACAATACTTGGTTCGAAGGATATTGCAATTACTGTAGTAATTATGGACATAGGAAAAGAGATTGTAGAAAGTTTCTACGAGAGAAGTCACAGACGAGTCAAAATACTAGCCAAGAAGATGGTGAGACCATGGTTAGTTTGTCATCAGACGTGTGTCTTGTTACACATGGTGAACAAGAATGTTTACACGTAGGCACTCATGATGTTGAGTGGGTGATTGATACAGCCGCATCATTTCACGCCACTCCACACCAGAACTTATTCACAACTTATAAGTCCGGAGACTTCGGAGCTGTGAAGATGGGAAACACCAGTTTCTCGAAGATTGTTGGCATTGGTGATGTGCACATAATAACCAATGTCGGATGCGCACTTGTGTTGAAAGATGTTCGACACGTTCCGGATCTTAGATTGAATCTTATCTCCGGTACAGCTCTGGATCAACAAGGATATCTTAACCGATTCAAAGAAGGTACATGGAAGCTATCTAAAGGTTCCTTGGTTGTTGCAAGAGGCCATATTTGTGGCACTCTTTATAAAACTCATGCAAAGTTGTGTCATCCGAGTCTCAATGTTGTTGAAGAAGAGATATCACCAAACTTGTGGCACCGGAGGTTAGGTCACTTGAGCGTGAAGGGATTGACAACTCTTGCAAAGAAGGAAGTCATTTCCATGGGCAAAGGTGTTGCCCTAGATTCATGCGAGCACTGTCTATTTGGGAAACAACACAAGGTTTCCTTCAGTTCTACCAAGAAGAACCATACAGAGTTACTCAGTCTTGTCCACTCTGATGTATGTGGACCCATTGAAGAGGAGTCACTTGGAGGAAGCAGATACTTCATGACATTCATTGATGATGCATCACGAAAGGTATGGGCCTACTGTTTAAATCGTAAGGATCAAGTGTTTGATCGATTCAAATCATTTCATGCCATGGTAGAAAGAGAAACAGGGAAGAAGCTGAAGTGTCTGCGTTCAGACAATGGAGGAGAGTACACTTCCCGAGAATTCTCAGCATATTGTGCCGCATATGGAATCAGACATGAGAAGACGGTTCCACGAACTCCGCAACACAATGGTGTAGCCGAAAGAATGAATCGGACCATTATGGAGAAAGTTCGTTGCATGTTGAGTCTGGCTAAGCTACCTAAGCCATTTTGGGGTGAAGCTGTGCTGACAGCTTGTTATCTTATAAACAGGTCACCTTCTGTTCCTTTAAACTTTGAAGTGCCAGAGAAGAAATGGTCAGGAAGAGATGTTTCTTACTCTCACTTGAAAGTGTTCGGGTGTAAGGCATTTGCACTTGTGTCCAAGGAGTTGAGACAGAAGATTGATCTCAAGTCAAACCCATGTATCTTCATCGGCTATGGAGATGAAGAATTCAGATACCGGTTGTGGGATCCCGAAGTGAAGAAAGTTATTCAAAGCAGAGATGTTGTATTTCATGAAAACGAGTTTCATGGGTGTGCTCCAATAATCCGCCAACAACATACTCCAGAAGACGAAGTGCATGTATCATCAAACATTCCTCTCAGCGACGAGGAGATGCATGATTCTACTGAACACGAGAGTGATGGTTCAGCAGGTGATGATGATACTCACAGTGATGATATTCCTCAGCAGGGGGAGCCTTCATCTGAAGATGAATCTGAAGGTATTCATGTTCGACGTTCTATGCGAGGCATAGTTCCACAAAGAAAATACTCCACATCCGAATGGATACTTGTTGCCAGCGAGGGGGAGCCAGCGAGCACCGCAGGAACGAGAGAAATAAAGAAAAAGGTGGAGGGGGAGATTTGTAGGTATCTTCCACCTTCTTTCTTGGAAGTTGCCAAGAGACACCTTAACATGGAGGCACCTTCTTGGAAAGAGCTCTCCAACAAATATGTGTGGGAGAAGATATGGAGATAACTAGGAAGCTTGGATGCAACTTCCTCATGTCTCCAAACCAGCCCTCTAAATAGAGTGCTTCATTGTTGTTCATAGTATCAGTTTAGAAAGTGAGAAAAGTGTGTGAAGAGTGAAATACACTTGGTGTATAAGTATATTGGTGAGGATTGGTTTTTTGTAATAGTTGAGTGTGAGAGTTTGCTCCTCCTATTGTAATTCTGTTCTTGATATTGAATAGTAGAATTTTCCAATCCCAACAGTATAAACGCTCTAAGAAGTTCAAGAGATGACTGCGAGTGAAACGTGCAGAGTATGTTCGTAGCTTTCATAGAGGAGTGAAGTCTGCCACATTCATCTATCTACATTTAAAAAGCAATCATTTAAATCAATTGACCTGAAGATGACCTCATTTAGCGGGTTAATTGCTTATGTGGCAATTTTTATAGTTTTCTTTTCCTTTGTTAATTCTGTTTTACTAGTATTCCACCTGTGCGTTGCACGGGGTGTAAGATACAAATATTATAAGTATACAAAAATCATTCTACCTCTAAATGAAATTAAAGATTATATTATAATTTATCACAGGAATGAGAGTAACGACTAATAAATACATAATAAAAAATATTTAGAATTTAATAAGTATACAATTTTACAAATTATTGAAAACTTCTTTGTAGACAACATTTTTTGCGGTCTTTTTCCTATTTCCCTCGTCGTCGCATATCACGAAATTCAATCCAGACGGACTCGTCACCCTCGAAACTGCAACATATAACTGCCCATGTGTAAAAACTGGTCGTCGTAGAAAAACGCCCACATTCTCTAACGATTGTCCTTGGCTCTTGTTCATTGTCATTGCATAGCTAACCATCAAGGGGAATAGGAAAAAAATACTCCAAAATCTGAAAAGCTGAGAATATGCAAGGTGAATAACAAATGAAGAGAACTTACAAAGAAATTTTTTGATACACTTGGAAGTCTAACCATTTAATTCAGTCTCACAAATAAAAAACATATAACGTTTTCGTGGTTAATCATTTTTAGGGGATATGGTTATAATTTCAGTTTATATATGTAGCTTTTGGAAAAAGCTTTTTTATTAAATGAGGTTTTTTTGAGATGTTGAACTTAAGTTTTTGCACCCCTATTCGTAATGCAGGAAACTGAAGGGACAAATTGAAATTTAGGCTAATGGCCAATAGTTGGAAACTCAAAATCATCTACTCAAATTATATTTTGAGCTTATTTGGTACGAATTAGGTAAAGTGTTTTGAAGCAACTAAACCGATTTAGCTAAAGTTTTTGCTTTAAAGTAAGTGTGCTTTAAAGCAAAATGTGTAGAAGATAAGAGTTACATATGACAACTGACAGTAGCATAAAAACAGTACCAACAAAACAGATAAGTCTAATAGTTTAATTTATATATGTACCTTTTGAAAGAGCATAGAGGGCTGTTTCAGTTTACAAATATGGTTTAGTTCTAATAGACAGAGTCCTCTGCCTTACTAACTTGAGCATATAACTGAACTTTGAGAATGTCGTATTCATTTATGTTACATTACTCATCTCACAATACAATTAAAAAACAAATGGCTGTAAAGATGAAGTGCAGTTTCTAAAAAAATTATAAGCTAAAGAGTAAGTTTAAACAAAATAGGCAATTAATTAAAAAAATAAATGATGAACATATATGAACTGCTTACATGAAAAGAAGCCTTACAAATAAACATGAGCTATTAAGGTAGTATAATCTACAAAATAATTCATTTTTCTGATCATTCTTACATACTAAACTGCAATATAAAGTATAAACAAAATGTATTCAAGGTCCAAGTACCCATTTCTTTTGTATTTTTATATCCTTAGCTCATGGTGTTTTGAAGTGACAGACTTTCATTAGCACAAAACAATACATGGGAAACAGACATACTTTATCAATCATTTAACACATATATGCATTTGAAATGAGTAAACACATATGTGCATTTAATGCAGCAACAAAACAACAAAAACCAATGCAATGCAGATTTGGGAAATAGGTTTTCGTGGTTAATCATTTTTAGGGGATATGTTTAATCAGCTATTGAAACAAAAAAAAATACATTACTCCAAGATCTGAAAAGCTGAGAATATGCAAGGTGAATAACAAATGAAGAGAACTTACAAAGAAAATTTTTGATACACTTGGAAGTCTAACCATTTAATTCAGTCTCACAAATAAAAAACATATAACGTTTTCGTGGTTAATCATTTTTAGGGGATATGGTTATAATTTCAGTTTATATATGTAGCTTTTGGAAAAAGCTTTTTTATTAAATGAGGTTTTTTTGAGATGTTGAACTTAAGTTTTTGCACCCCTATTTGTAATGCAGGAAACTGAAGGGACAAATTGAAATTTAGGCTAATGGCCAATAGTTGGAAACTCAAAATCATCTACTCAAATTATATTTTGAGCTTATTTGGTACGAATTAGGTAAAGTGTTTTGAAGCAACTAAACCGATTTAGCTAAAGTTTTTGCTTTAAAGTAAGTGTGCTTTAAAGCAAAATGTGTAGAAGATAAGAGTTACATATGACAACTGACAGTAGCATAAAAACAATACCAACAAAACAGATAAGTCTAATAGTTTAATTTATATATGTACCTTTTGAAAGAGCACAGAGGGCTGTTTCAGTTTACAAATATGGTTTAGTTCTAATAGACAGAGTCCTCTGCCTTACTAACTTGAGCATATAACTGAACTTTGAGAATGTCGTATTCATTTATGTTACATTACTCATCTCACAATACAATTAAAAAACAAATGGCTGTAAAGATGAAGTGCAGTTTCTAAAAAAATTATAAGCTAAAGAGTAAGTTTAAACAAAATAGGCAATTAATTAAAAAAATAAATGATGAACATATATGAACTGCTTACATGAAATAAGCCTAACAAATAAACATGAGCTATTAAGGTAGTATAATCTACAAAATAATTCATTTTTCTGATCATTCTTACATACTAAACTGCAATATAAAGTATAAACAAAATGTATTCAAGGTCCAAGTACCCATTTCTTTTGTATTTTTATATCCTTAGCTCATGGTGTTTTGAAGTGACAGACTTTCATTAGCACAAAACAATACATGGGAAACAAACATACTTTATCAATCATTTAACACATATATGCATTTGAAATGAGTAAACACATATGTGCATTTAATGCAGCAACGAAACAACAAAAACCAATGCAATGCAGATTTGGGAAATAGGTTTTCGTGGTTAATCATTTTTAGGGGATATGTTTAATCAGCTATTGAAACAAAAAAAAATACATTACTCCAAGATCTGAAAAGCTGAGAATATGCAAGGTGAATAACAAATGAAGAGAACTTACAAAGAAATTTTTTGATACACTTGGAAGTCTAACCATTTAATTCAGTCTCACAAATAAAAAAACATATAACGTTTTCGTGGTTAATCATTTTTAGGGGATATGGTTATAATTTCAGTTTATACATGTAGCTTTTGGAAAAAGCTTTTTTATTAAATGAGGTTTTTTTGAGATGTTGAACTTAAGTTTTTGCACCCCTATTCGTAATGCAGGAAACCGAAGGGACAAATTGAAATTTAGGCTAATGGCCAATAGTTGGAAACTCAAAATCATCTACTCAAATTATATTTTGAGCTTATTTGGTACGAATTAGGTAAAGTGTTTTGAAGCAACTAAACCGATTTAGCTAAAGTTTTTGCTTTAAAGTAAGTGTGCTTTAAAGCAAAATGTGTAGAAGATAGGAATGTACACAATGGAACACGGATTCAATGAAAAAGACGGATAAAATAAAATCAAAAGTAATTAAAAAACATGGCATTGGGTAGTGCATCACCTTTTCATCCATCAAAACTAATTCACAAGAGCGGGAACCCAAGCTCATGTTCTGGTCTTTCACAATCCACTTTCTCCTAACACGAAACAAAAAGGCAGAATTTCGTGGGAGTTGAAGAGTCACATCAGAAAGAAATTTCTTCTCAGGTGGCATTTTTGCTGCATTATCATTCAAAGAAGAAGCAAGATTTGAAAAACAGAAATTATGAATACACAGAACGTACTTTTAAAGAAAGTTATAAGTGTATGTGCATTTTTTCAAATATTTTACTAATGGAAAGTATAAATCCTGAAAGAACTATAATAATAATAATCTTATATTCTGATCATAATTATAATAATAACTATTATAATAATCTATATATACAACTAAACACATGTATCATATGATCTATGTGAATGAAGGATTTTTATCATAATGAAGGTCATTGATTTAATGGTGAAAGACGATTGAACCATAAAAGGTTAATGACATACCTGTTCAAGCAAGATTTGAATACCAGAAATTATGAATACACTTGAATGTATTTTTAAAGCAAGTTATAAGTGTACATGTATTTTTTCAAATATTTTACCAATGGAAAGTATAACTCCGAAAAGAAATATAATTATTATAATGATATTATAATAATTATAATAATAACTATTATAATAATTACAATAATTATTAATAACAACTAAACACATGTATCATATGATGTAAGTTCACGAAGCATTTATATCAGAATGAAGGTCAATCATTACATGGTGAAAGATTATTGAACTATAAAAGGTTAATGACATACCTGTTGAACCTCTGCCTTGAAACACTAAGATGCTCGAGTACTCTATGAGTTTATGGTATGTGCGTGTATATATATATAATAGAAGGTCGTTTGGTGGTGGTGTGTAAATATGTTTGGACCCTTAAATATGAATCTCAATGATTCATTCTGTAATTTAGAAGATGCACATTTCCTTATATAGTTAGGGTTATTAATGATATCTGTATTTAAGTGCACGTGAAGAAAATAAATAAATGTAGAAACGAAATATAATTAATGATAGAAGATTCTTACCATTCATACAGTTTGGATTCTTAATAAATATAGAAACGAAATATGTTTTTATTAACTAAACAGATTTATTATGATATGAGTCTGAAATAGAAGGTAGATTCTTACCATTCATATAGTATAGACTCTGAATAAATATAGAAACGAAATAAGGCTTTTGTTAACTAAAAAGATTTATTATATGATATGAGTCTAAAATAGAAGGTAGATTCTTACCATTCACATAGTGACTCTGAATAAATATAGAAACGAAATACGGCGTTTATTAACTAAACAGATTTATTATGTGAGTCTAAAAATAGAAGGTAGATTTATCCCATGTATACATAGGATGCACGTTTCCTTACAAAAGTGTTTCCTTCTAGGTTTTGATTCTAGGATTATTATATGATGAATATATTGCTTTTAAGTTTTTATTTTATTTAAATAAATGTTTCTTATAAGGTAGATCATACTTACCATTTTTTAAAGAATTTATTTAACAAACAAAACATTTCTTTTATTGTACGACATACTTACCATTTTAACACTCCTAAACTTGAGAAAAAGAGGTGAATCATGTAAATATGATACTTTGAAACAGAATTTCAAAATTATATGATAAAAACGTTCTAGGTTTTGATTCTAGGATTATTATATGGTGAATATATTGCTTTTAAGTTTTTATTTTATTTAAATAAAAGTTATATATAAGGTAGATCATACTTACTATTTTTTAAAGAATTTATTTAACAAACAAAACATTTCTTTTATTGTACGTAATACTGACCATTTTAACACTCCTAAACTTGAGAAAAAGAGGTGAATCATGTAAATATGATACTTTGAAACAGAATTCAAAATTATATGATAAAAACGTTCTAGGTAAAAAATATTCTAGGTAAAAATGTGATTAGAAATAATAAAATTTTAGTACACATACCCCAACACTGTCACAACACAAATGAAACATATGATGTTTTAGGGATGGATTATTCTTTTTTGAAGCTTTCAGACATGTACCTGTCCACTTATTTGAATGAAAGAAGCTGCAACTTGGTCTATAGGAATATCACTTTCATGAATTCTCCTTCCATTGTATATAGAGTCAGTCCCATCATCATATTATACAGATGCAGAAGAAAGATGAAGGTTGTCTGAAAACTGTCTTATACAAGTGCAGGTTTCCTTATAGTTTTATTTTCTAGGTTTGATATGTGATGAATATACTTACCATTTTCAAGTTTTTATTCTAAATAAAAAGGGTTTCTATATGATAGAGATATCTTACCATTTTTAAATATTTTTTTAATAAACAAATATATACACTATAAAATTTGCAGAAGAGCTCAACCTGCCAACAGTCAACGGGCCATGTATGTTGTTGGCTCCCCAATACCAATTTTCCTCTGCTTCATCTGGCCAATTAATTATATCAGTGCATTAAAAAAGCTCATTAATGGATATAAAGTAAAAGTAAGCAGCTAAAAATGTTCTAGGTAAAAATGTTCGAGATAAGAAGTTAGATTTTTTATACTATTGATAGCAAATGGGATGCAGGAAAGTAAGATAGTTTTACTTTAAAGCATGGTGTATGACCAGACAACCCAATATATGCAATACTTTAACCACGACTAATCTGAAGCCTTTACGCTTTCAAATGCTAAAAATTCTAGGAATCAGCATCATGTATGTTTTCATTCAGCTTTGCCACCTCTTACTATATGTTAAGATATCTCATTCATATTTAAAAGAACAACTATAATCAGCTTAAAAGGATAGTTTTAAAAAACAAAACTAAGCTTGTGAAAGTAAATTAAAGGAGAGAAGATGGAGTAACATGTGATTGTCCATCAGAACATATTTTTTATATAAGCAAAACTGAATAACTATTAATTATAACTATCTCATCATCTTTCAAAACCTTTCTCCTATCATATTCAAGAGTTTTCCCATTATTTAATATATGCAGCTTTTTTATTTAGAACATAAATTTTCAGTTTGAATAATCATATTATGGGCAAATCATCCTATGTAAACATTTAAATGAGCAGGCTTGAACATTTAAAATCATAATGGCAAATCATACCTATGTAAACATTTAAATGAGCAGGCTTGAACATTTAAAATCTTCTGATTGTCCTCTGAAATCACAACATTAACATTCATATGTTTTGTTGTCTAAAAATATCTAAACATATTCTCTGATTGTCCTCCAGATGTATGGACAGTTTCATATGTCCTAATTCTATACCCCATATGCATTACCATATGTTTTGTTGTCTAAAAATATCTAAACAGATTCATAAAAGCATTTGTATGGACATCTATGGCAATATGGATATATGAAAAGAAAAGAGAATCTAACACAATGGATAGGTGTACATCTATCATATAGATTATGCATTGTACATTTTAATGTTGCTTTCCCTTGATAAAAGGAGCTATTTCATGTTTCAGGCAACTATGTATAAGAAAACAGAATCAGGGTTATGCTCAGATCTGCCATACAAACAGAACCAGGTGATTATAATTGATGAATCCAGAGTTGAGGTTAGATTTTGATTTGTGAGTTCAATTCCTCATTCCTAATCAGCCAAAAAACCAACTTATATCTTTAATTTCCTATTAAATTAAGTTTGTCCATTATCTTTCACATTGTTTTCAATTAAGGTATTCTAAACATTTTTACATCCATAGATTGTTTGGATTCAATTCAGCAATTGATAGGAAGCAATCACAAATTATTGGGATTATCCTTCATTGTATCCTTTATTGTTGCTTCTCTCTCGCCCTGATCTTTTGCATTTTTTCCCCTTTTTGAATGCATGCTTCAACTCCTGAGTGGTCCGAAGCTCCAAGACCCATTTTGGGCATCTATGGTGAGGAAATCAGGTCTGAATAATTGATAACCGTACAAACAGAACCAGGTGATTATAATTGATAAAATGAATAAGAAACCTAATTATGCATACAAATAGTCGATGAAAATTGATAGTGTGAAATCAAACCTGATTTTGCTGGAGTCTTTGGGCATCGATGGACAACACCATATGCATAACCAAAATTGTGGCTTGGATACTTTTGCCACAAGTCTGAACCAAAGGTGCGATTTGTGCGGTTCGAACCTGATTTGGTCCTCTTCTTATTCCCCGGCTTGGATGCGAGCAATGGATAGATGTTTTCCGGTGGTGACTTGGATGGCGGGTGCTGGAATAAGGCGGCCACGAACAGAATTGTGCGAAGATTGAGATGGGAACATCGATGAACGGAGGAAATTAGCGGAGGAAAGGTGCGATTTGTGCGATTCGAACCTGATTTGGTCCTCTTCTTGTTCCCCGGCTCGGATGCGAGCAATCGATTGATGTTTTCCGGTGGTGACTTGGATGGCGGGTGCTGGAATAAGGCGGCCACGAACAGAATTGAACGAAGATGGAGATGGGAACATCGATGAACGGAGGAAATGAGTGGAGGAAAGGCGAAGGTTTTTTTTTGTTTTGGGTGAAAGAGGCGAAGGAAAGGTGGAGATTTGTTTGATCGAAGGGCTGTGATGATATCGGTGCTTAGGCGGGATTACTGTTCATTGAACAGTAAAAATACTATTCATTGAACGGTAACCAATTGTATTGTTATTATGTATATATAGATATAGATTTTCTTTTAATTCTGTTCTTTCTTGGTCCATACCTTGGTCGATGGAATTACGGAAATGCCTCCAACTTCATTGTCTTCTTCCATGTCCGTTTCTTGGTGAAGAAGGTGTATGCCTCCATCTTCATTTCTCTTCTTTCTTTAGCTTAGCTTTAAGTCTCCAACTACATTGAGGTAAGATTGTTGCTTAATTTCATTAGATATAATTTCTTTTGTTTTGCGGTGTAGAAAGACGAAGTAATAGAGTATGTGATATACATGTATGACACATTTCATATACTACGTACGAAGTACTATGTATGCGGTTAGGGATAGGGAGAACGGAAGATGGAGCAAAAACAAAAGGAAAAATCAAAAAGAAAAGAAAAAAGGAAATCAAATTTTTGTCATAAAAGCCACATGTATAGAATGAGTTGACCTGGGCTTATTCGAAACTACATGTGTCATTACTTATTGGATTCAACATATTACTTGCAGGTCATTTGGTTTAAAAAGATTGTTTTCAACGAGTATAGATA